TKKTTWAAAAAAAAAAAAAAGCACACAGGAATTTTCTTCATACAAGAAAACAGAAAAATTATTTCAGACAGTAAAAGTTTGATAGACATTTCGTTATACTTGTTATTTTAAACTCTCTTCTACCTGCCATTTCTGCCTGCCCAGTCTTGGCTTTAATTCCAGTTTCCGAAAAATTGTGTGGCTTTGTGGAATTAAAGGCATTATCAAGTCCCTTTTATGCAAGGCTTTGGCTTTGTCATTACACTTTCCAGTTCTTGTCCTGCTTTGTTTCATCCTTGCAACGCCTAGTGAAATCATTTCAGCCGCGTGGTGCTTTATTGCTTCCACCCACTCACTCATCCTTCGAATATTTGTTAAACTCCATGACAGCTGGGAAAAAGTCTAATTTACCAATCAGAAAATGAATCCAATGGCTGAGTGCCAGTATTGCTGGTACAGTAAATATGAGTTTGTATATGCTAAAAGTATACTCGAAGGTAGCAAATTTTAACTGAGCTCTTGTCATTTGAGGTGGTGCAGTTTGAAAAAAACCCAYACTTTTGTTAATTTTACAGTAGCTGAACGGAAATGAGTCTGCTTTGCAGCACTGAGCCTTAAGCCGACCATCACTTGACACTCCCCAGGGACTTGGCTTACACGCTGCAATGCAACACTTTAGAGCACAGCAGAGCAATTCACACTAACCTGCAATTTGCTGACTGTAGCATTGTCTTTGTCCTTCCCGAAGAAATAAGCTAGAATGTTAGCTGGAGAATCCGGGATTTAATTGTCCCGAGAAAAATGTTAATGGTTTAGCATTTATAAAATGGGCAGACTTTCATACTGTCTCTATGATGAAAACTGAATGCAGAAATTCTTGAGAAATTACTGTTAGCAAGTTCCTGTTAAATTTAGCATTCAGTCCTGCACCAGTAAACACGGGCTTGCCTGCCAAGGGAACAAGGAGAGGATAAGCTTAAATTCAATCAGTGTGACTCGCTACAGACTCAACAGAGCTCATGCAGCCATTTATGGATTCCCAGCCTGGTTTTGACTGTTTGATATTACAGGAAATTCAGAAGAACACCAGTAGATTTYCTGGAGTTTGTCTCAGTTTGCTCTGAGATGAGCAGGGAAGGGCTCTATATAGTTAATAATGTATTATTACTATATATACAGAAAATATCAAAATATATCTTGTCCTGCAGATTTCTGAAGCTTTGTTTCTACTCTCTGTATATATTTTATTGTAAAATTAACCACTTTTGCACATTGTAAATCATTTATATGTAGTGGTGGATTATAGGTATTAAATCAAACAGGATCATTTGCATTAGACTTATATATGCAGAGGCAAGATATGCCTTTGAGTTATACCTTATTTTTAAAACTGTTCTTCTGCTTGATTCTAAGCTATATCATAGAGATGATAATTGCCAACATCAAGAATTTAATACTCACTGTTGTGTAGTGGGGTGTAGAAATGTTTCAAGTAAAATATTGTGCTTTGCTTTTGTTTTCTAGCAGTGGAATTAGACCCTAACTATATTAGAGCTTTGCTGCGGAGAGCAGAACTATATGAAAAAACAGAAAAACTAGATGAAGCCCTGGAAGATTATAAAACAATCTTAGAAAAAGATCCATCAGTTCATCAAGCCAGAGAAGCTTGCATGGTAAGCCATCCCAGCACACCTTGGGCTAACAGCAAAACAAGGCCTTTTCTTGCCTTATCGAAGTATTGAGTGCTGTTTGTCCTGGTTATGCTGCTTCACAGGCACTTTAGCCAAAGTCAAAAAGTGTACGGGTTTTCTCTTCTGGTTTTATATAGGGAAGATGATATGAACTGCTGCAACTTCCATGATCATTTTGAAGTCTAGAACACTTAGTTCTTTTTTTAACCTCCATAAAGCATGTGTGAAAGTAAAAAGGCTTTTCTGAGCTGTTAACATAAAAATACAGCTTTACCTGTTAAAAAGCCCTTCCCAACCATTCAGCTGCAGTTCTAATTTGATTCTCTCCAAGAATATATGGAACCTTTTCAATGCAGTAATCTCGTTAAATAATTCCTTTCAAACATGGTCTGTTAAACGTCATGCTGATAAACCTCTAATAAATCTTAGACATTGATTCTCCTGGTATTTGAGTTAGTGCATGTGCTAGAAACGTGATAACCGCATTGACCACCACTGATGACCACAGCTGCATTTAGCGTCTATCACTTCAAGGGGATCTGCAATTTGGAGACCAGAATATGGGTACTTCATAACACAGATTTTGCTAGCTATGTAATTGGTTGGTCTGTCCTTCAGTATCCTCATTGGCAAAGTTGGAGTCCAATGCCTTTATGGCATGATTTTAAAATATTTACTTTTCTGTTGAGTTAATTATACAACACTGGGGATGGCAGAGACAGGCTTGTATCAAAACTGGGAGCTAGAGCTACATTTGACCTGAAAATCTGCTTCAAAGGCCTGATTTTTTTGTTTGTTTATTTTCTCCATTTGACTTTTTTCTCTTGACATTTTGCTATGCCTTCAGTGAGCATTGGCTGCCTTACTAACACTCACTTATATCTTTAAGAACTTAGTCTCTCACTTGAATGAAATGGCACCTTGTKGTCACAAACAGCAGTGTGACCTGATTCGGCTTTCTTCGTTACCAAACCAAATGAGTTTTGCAGCTTAATACTGTGCTCCAAAGTCCACTTTCAATCAACATTACAAATGCTTCAAGATTAAAGGTTTCTTGAGGTATCTTTTTTCTGTCTCCGTAAGTGTAAGAAAATGCTTTCAGAGTGTCCTTGGGTTTTTGGACAGGATGACTTGGATGAACAAAAGTAAAGGGGTCCCAAAACCCCAGTATAGCTTGTAAATAATCCCTACTCAATGGGGATTTACAGTCACTCCCACTGCCTGTTGATTTGAAGTTTTAAGGAACTCTTTGTGTAAAATACTAGCAAGAAATGAGTTTTTTTCTAGAGGCATTTAGGAGGTTAATACTTAAATGTGAAAAATAATGGTGTTTTTCACAAGGTCACTGGGTCTTTTTGCAAGGCAAGGGGTAGTGGGTAACGAGACCAGTTTTGTACCGAAAGCTCCCCTTAAAGGCTGCTCAGAGGCCTGAGAGGCTAAAGGCTTTGAGAGGCTTCAGAAAGCAGCTACGCGGCGCTGCCTGCCACGGTGTGCTTGTGTCCTGGTGCTGGCCATTGTCTAGCCCTGTGGGGACACCTGGTCCTCTGTGTCACTCTGGTAGACTAGCCCTGCCTAAAGGAAGAACAGCCAGCAAGCAAAGCGCCCCAAAGGGAACCGTTTTGCATGGCCGTGGCTTCTGGGCATCGAGGCCCGTGCAGCCAAGGCAGTGGCGACTGGGCTGGCAGCCCGTGACACGGCCAGTTTGCTGCGCTCTGCAGCAGCCCCTGGTCCTTGTTCGTGCGGGTGGATGCGGGCAGAGGGGCGCTGAGCACCCAGCTCTTGGCAGTGCCTAGTAAGTGACAGGCTGGTCAAACACCGTTAMCGCGTGCGTGGGGAGTGCGATGGGTCTGTCCGAGCCGAGAAAAGTGCCTCCGTGTTGGCCTCTTTCAGCCCTCTAGCTGAGCCTCCCGCTTAACTGATCCYGTAATTCAACTAGGGAGTCAGCCGACGTTTGTAAAGGAAGTCCCATGRTTTCATTTTTCCGGCTTCCAGAGTATTCTGCAGTCTCTTAACATTATCTTAGGCTTTTTTCTGGTTCTAGTGTAATATAGTAAGTTACTTGGTAAAATAATACTAATGTAGAAGGGATGTGYGTTCTTAGCACATTTTAGCAGCTCTTCATACAAAAAACAGCTGTGAAGAGCAGATGGGTTGTCATGAACCACCAGCCATCAACTCCACAGATCAAGAGCAGTGTCGGGAGGTGGGGGGAAATGTAAGGGTTTGAAAATACCTCTTTTGGCTGGCTGGAAATCTCTGTRGCTAAGATATGGGTCCTTCCTACCTCTTGCGACGCCACGATTTTCCTTCAGTGCRTGTGCCTCGTCTCTTTAAGAATTTCACAAATAAGCCCTTGCTCAGGAGCTAGGGGAGATTTGTGCTAGAAGAGAATGTTCTTCCTGGCCACCCTTCAAGAATGTTTTAGAATGATCAGTAATTTGTTCTGATTTTTTGCCTTGTTTTGTAGCTGGGAAGTACAGAGGTTGACTGTACATCTACCTTCTGCTCCTTGGCCTCATTTTATTAGGCAGAGATGTTAGGCTGACATGTGGTGCAGAACACATTGTACCAAACGCTCTCAATTTACACCTCAATGGGATTTAGGGCATTCTGCTCCGAGTTGCTCCTGTTCTGTATCAAGTTGCAGGGGAGAGCCAGTCAGTCTTTTGAAACTGAAGCTTAAAACTCATCCTGAAGATTTGTTACTGAAATGCTTGATGGATAGCTAGTTCTACATGCTTCTAAACATAATGAAATTTCACAGTAGAAAACAATCCACCATATTGTTAATTCCATGTATGCAATTAATATAACTGTAGTACACAGGGAACTGCGGCTCTGCTCTATGTTAACCTTAAGTCCAGTCTTTGCAGAAATAGTGTAGCACTTTCACCCCCGCCACTAATAATGATGCATCAAGGCTACTTGCAAATCATAACCTTCATCTGTTAGACCAATCTTTCGTATTTTTACATATAGAAGATAATAGGCGTACTGTTTTACTGCATATAATAATTGTGTTAAATGACTTTTAAAAGCCTTCAGTGCACAGTATTTCTTGCTTTGGTTCTGGTGTATCTGCTCCATAATTTCAATGCTGCTGGCATTTCAGGAGCTCAGCACCAATGTTTGGCCCTGGAGGCCCATGAGGCACATTTTAATTACTTCTGACATCTTCAATGTCAGATTAAACAGTTTGAAATTAGTGTTTTGTTGCCAAATAATCCCTATTGATGCTTTCCCAGAAAGTGTTTAATTATGTGGTATCAATCTTGAGGCTGTGTTTCTAGCAGGTGTGTGGCAGTGTTGTGTGATTCCAGCTTCAGGGCCCTGGCAGAACAGGCAAGCAGGGTTAATTGCCCAGAGAGACTGCACTTGGGCAGGGGTCTCACAAACCTGCCGCAGGCAGCTGGGCGCTGCGCTCCTTGCTATAGATAACTAACCTTGCAGCGTTTTGGCAGCGGTGAGAAACAGTCTTTGCAACATTAATATTCAGGTGGATGAAACACGGAATGTGYATTTCGGACGTAGCATTTTCATTCCTGCTAAAGAGAGCTGCCGAGTGTGCCAACRGCTCCGAGACTGCGCGCGCCTCCTGGCCCGGGCTGAGCCTGGAGCCTGGGGAGAGCTGCACGTCGCCGTGCAGCCACTCGGGCCCCCATCTCCCCCTGTTAATAAGCCCCTCTGGGCCGGCACAAGTCAGCTGGGGTCTGGCTGGGCTAATTACATCTGCTCACTGGTGGCGATACCAGGCCTGGGCTGGTTTCAGGTTAGCCAGCCATGTGTCTCTGCATTATATTCCTTAGCATTCGTCTGGCTTTCTGGGGTATACAATTTCTCTTCCCCGTTTACTGCAGAAAATGGGCTGTATTTGCCTGTCTTCACCAGCGTGTACTGCTTGGAGAAGAAAGAATCATCAGGCTGCCTTGTCAAGGGGCTTTTTCTCGAGGTGAACATCTTATTTCACTGTAGCAGTATGATGAGAATGACAAACCCATGCATCATGACTGGAACTATAAATTACAGGAAGGAACAAGATCAGGAAATTGAGTTCTTTAGCTGTGTTCAGAAGGCAATTATCACAAAGGAAGTGTGTGCAGAGTGAATCCCACACCTGTTACTGCAGTCAGCAGCTGTAATTAATTTACTGATAGCACCATTAGAGCAGATCTGTCTCATTTGCTCTGACCTCCACAAGAAGAGAGCATAGTTATGACTATAATTGCATCCTTAAATGGCAGGATTATATGGTGATAAGCACGGTATAAAAGCTTGGAGTACTTGCTTCTGAAAGGCCGACGAAAAAGGCYTACGAAGACTTTTTGTTTGGGATGATGCAACAGATCTTAACACTAGCACCAGTTCTGAAGTTCAGAATAACAAAAAATGCATRTGTCTGAACTCAAGATCTTCCAGACTTTCCTTTCCAAATCTAGTCTCTCTTCCCAAATTAAACACACACAGCGTAGGAGATAGAATTAAAGTATATGTTTAGCACTAAGTCTCTTAAATTCCATAAACTTGCCAATTAAAATACCAGGAAAAGGGATCAGATCTGCTTTTCAGCAGTGAAAATAAATGCCTGTATGAAACTGGCACTTACAAATTACAGTTTACTATTTACGTGAACTGATGTAACAGGGTGAATATAGGTTTCCCAAATGACAGAGTGSTTGCTGCTAAGCCAGGAACAGTGCAGCCTGGCTATGGGTAGACAAGYGACCCACAGTAACCCACAGCATTGCTGAAATGCATCCCTTTGATTCTGTTTTTCCCTCTTGCTTCCTACAGCGATTACCTCAACAAATTGAAGAGCGGAATGAAAAATTAAAGAAGGAAATGATAGGTGAGTAGCTTATATATGTAAATTGCTTCCATAATCTTAACAGTCCTAGAAAAATAAAAATGTCTGATTACACAGATCTCTCATATCAAACTTAGAGAAGGTAAGTCTCAAAGGAAATGCTTGTTCTGTGTTAAACAAACACAGCTTTCTAGTTCTATATTGTTTAATTTTACTAGTAGTAAGTTGTAACCAGATAATGCTCTCTTACTGAGAAAAATATAGATAAATTTAAAGGAAAATATTCAGACTTCCTAAAAATGGTTTAATTGCATGAAAAAGAGAAAGAAAGATTTGAMACTGGATTTCTTTCCTGTCCTGCAAGTAAACCTTTAAAAGAAATCCTTCTCTAAAAAAGGGCAAAGACAGGGTTTTCACCAAATCTTGAACTCAAATGTCATTTGTATTTGATCTTGTGTAGCTATATTTGGTCTTATGTCTGAARAAATACATTTGGTTCTTAATGTAGCATTTTCCACAAATAGACTTCCTAGCCTTCATAACTATTCATTTTTGTATTAGCTCAATTCTGTGCGTGTGGAGGCTGAAACAAACCTGCCTCGCGTTGCAAAGAGGCCTTAGGCATTGCTGGGAATAGAATCCAGGCTCCTAACTACATTTCCAGTGTTCATAGTTTTTGACTTTTATAATTCTGTACTAAAGGATACTACTGGCTGAAACCATTTATAGGAAATGGAATTTAATTAATACAACTAACTTAAATATATGCCACCCCATCATTGTGATGTATGATATTGTTTCCAAAATATTTGAAATGGAATGTTATATTTCAAAAGGATAACTAAAGCTAGTTACCCAAGCAAGATAGCTTTTCATGTGTAATATTAATAAGAATAAAGCACTTAATTGCACAAGTTCAAGCTTCATAGTTAAATTAAGTATTCATAGTAGTTCAGGGGAGAGACAACCACCTCCAGAAAGAAACTCCATCTGCTGAAAAATTCTGCCAATATTGCCTATATGCTCCTAGTTAAAAGCACTTATGTCTTTTTTCCTACCATTCAGATAGCTTATGAAATGGTGCTATTTAAAATTAGGTTTTAATTCTTTTCCTTCATCTTGTTTAGAAAATCACACAAAAGAGCAAGGAAAATGACTGATTACCTAAAAAAGAAGTTGACTGACCTGTCCTATTTCAGGAGTTACCTGTTTGCTAATTCTAGGTGTGACAAGTAATAGCTGACAGACTGTTTTAAGTAGACTTGAGGGTTTGGGATGGGAAAGGGAAGAGGGTTTCTGTGGAGAATCAGGTTAAATAAATTCAGTGTCTTCCATGCTGGACTCCAGAGAAGGGAATCCTTTCTCCTAACTCCCTTCTCAGTGATGATGAGTATGTTCATGGAGATGCTCAGATGTAAACTGCCAGGCTGGACACGCAGCATACGAATGAGGTAGTGCTGCATCTAAGCCTACGTGTATCCTGGGCTCTCATGTGTGACAGGATTCACAAATTGTCACATATGTTGTCAAAATTACGGGATGTCATTTGGCTAGGTGATGCTTTGCTCATAATTGTGCTTGCAATCACCAGTGTAGCACAGAAATTGAGGACTTTTTATGTAATACATTCTCTTAACAGAACATTTGAAATTAAATTTGGGATATGGCAGTAACCAGACTCATTTTTTAAGTGTGATTCAATTCCCCATATCCTGGCTGCAAGAGAGGAAGTAGTGACATCATCTGACTAATGGGGCCTGCAAGGGAAACACTTCCCCAGCCTCTCCAAACGCTGCTGTTCTACAGGAGTCCAGAGAGAGACCCCAGAGCCATGGGCTAGGTGGGAATCGGGGAGCTGGGAAGGGAGGCACCCGAAACAGCCTGGTGGTTGGGACATTCACATGGTTGTATTCRTTCTAAGCTGCCTCAACTCTTCCCTTTCAAGGACTTGGTTAATGGCATTTATCCACACAGCATAGTGTCAGGCACAGTTAAAAATATATATTTTTTTTTGGAAAGTGCTTCTTCCATCTCCATGTTTCCTGTTTTCCTGTGCTCCAGTTTGTTACCACATAGTTTGTAGGAAGTTAAGTGACTGAGTGTAAATAAATGGGAATACGCGTTCTTAGCTGGATTTCGCTTCTTGGCACCCTAGCTATGAATTCTTGCATGTAAATGGTAGCACATGTGATTAATGCAGTTGATTACTTTTTTTATAAATATAAATATGTTTTATTGCCATACCAAGTGCATTTCTGCTGTGTTTTCTGCAGAGGTTTAACGTTTCCAAAGCTGGTGTTGGCATTTAAATTATTTTCCTGTTTTCCACCTCTTTGCAGGTGACTGCTTCCACTTGTAATGAAGTTTGCTCAGTAGCAGCAAACCCCAGTTTACTAGAGTTTCATAATGTAGTTAAAGCTTAATTTAAAGCACTTTTTCATAGTAGTTTTTAAATTCAKGGGGCTCTTTCCCTTTATGCTTTCACAACATGAGCATCCCCTACTTCAGTGGTTCAAGATGTGAGCCACTATTAACCATCTTCAGTGTTCATTTTTAATTTTTCTTCTAACTTTAAAGCTGAAAATTTCCAGGTGTCATGCCACAAGTTAGTCTTGCTTAGGAAAAGCTCTCATTTGTGATAACTTGGAACAGTCCTTTGCAGAAAGCACGTTGGAAGAGGGCAAGTTTGGAATGCAGTTTTAGAAAGGATTAGCAGCCTGAGGTTTGAATGCAGTACAGTTTTCTACAAGGTTACATAGAAACTAAGTAAATTAGTTATTTAAATAACTATAGAACATGCCATGTATTTTTCCCAGCTTATGCACATGGAGTTCATCAAATCCAATTAAAAACTATGGGGATTCACACTGTAAGCTATAAATAAGTGCATTCTGAAAACCAGTAAAATGCACATGGTTATTAATGTGAATGACAGGAAAGCCTATCAAAAATTACTACCTAGACCTTTTGAGCAATCTGTTTACTTTCCAGCAGTTTGAGATCAGCATATAGAGTAGGCTTAGAGCTTAAGGTGGTTTTGTTATTTTTGTTTTTTAATGTACTGAAGGTAACGCTTATTTGAAAGTAAGAGGCAAAGCCCTGATAGTCTGGGGAGAACTGAGGTCATTTGAAATAGTGTAAACAAGAAGTGTTACTGTTGCTTTTAGTTCAGGCCTTTAGTTTAGGTAAGGGTAGCAGATTTGCTCTGGCTCTTTCAGTGCCTTCACAACTGGTGCTGCAAGTAAGGTAAGTTTCCRAAGATTTCATCAAGAAATTTCTAAGGCATAACTTTGTATCCAGCATAAACAGTATCCAGCTTTTCAACTTCCAAACAATGCATTTAACACTAGCAACTGTAACAAAAAGAGACTCAATTTTGGCTGTGTCATTATAAATASTGAGAAATCTTGTGCATCTCCCTTTTGCCACAGACAGTTCAGGTGAATAATGAATTACTGACTTCTGAGCCTAATATTAATTTGATTGGTTAGTTTTCCAGTTGACCTGTGAATATTGTTTTAAAGAATAAGCTTAGTTGTTAGAGCTCCAGGTTAAAAGTAGACATATGTGTTTTAAAATATTGAGAACAACAAGGTCTATCAAACTTCTGTCTCAGAGGAGACTGACACCGCTCCAGGATAAATGAGCATCTGGCTGCTGAGAACTCCTCCGAGCTGAGTCACAGCTCCACAAGCTTTTTTCTTTTCTTTTTCTTTTATTTTTATTTTCTTCCTCTACCCCCCAAGCACAATATCTCTTTTAAGAGAGCTTTTCTTTTTTGGTGGGGAAAGGAGAAAGGAGGGGAAGGGACTAAGCTACAAATCTTAATTTAGGGATGAAAGGGGAGGGGGAGGCGGAAATGGTGCTTTCCTACAATGATGGGTTTATGTGCTGCAAGCAGCAGGAGCGTCGCTTTGGGCTTTTGTTCTTGGAAAAAGCAAGGCTTTCTTCTCCTTCATTAACAATTTAATAAGGGTGGCTGTACCAAAAGATACCGCTGTACGTGGATTTAAATGATGGAATAGGAAGGTGACCTATGACTGCATTTAATTATTCAATCAAAGCTGGGTGAGATGAAGAATATAATATTAACTATAACGCAGTCTTCAGCCTCCCTCAAAGAACTGGCCTAGCTGCAAGCAAGGCTACCAGGACAGTTCTTCTGTGTTTATTGGCTCTAGTGTGACCGGAAAGGAGCCGTCGTCGTAACTCTGATCAGAAAAGACCTTTCACTGTTTCCTGAAATGGGCAAACTCGTCTGCCTGCTCCCGAGCCAGCTGCAAGGCTCAGATTGCTCATAAACTGTTCACGACTGGCCCCTGGAATGCTGGACTATGCCAGGCTTCTGCCGTGGACAGACAAAGACTCGTCTCACCCCAAAACTCGACGCTCAGCAATGCCCAGTCGTCTGTCTAAAAGCACATAGCAATGTATTCATCTCAGTGACAGAGATGCTGTCAGGAGCACCTCTCTGTTCTGTAACCAAAATGTTTTTCAGATGCAGTGTAAAAATTATCAGCTTGGCTTAATAGTTTGTTTATCTTCAGGGTAGTGTAGCTTAAAACAAATAGACTGGTACAACACAGCTAATCTTAGCTGAGCCACACGGGAATGACCTTGTCCAAATCACTTGACCACCTCAGCTATTAATCCCAGCAGGGTAAAATAAAATTCAAGAAAAATACTGTTCCACCATTTGATTGTTTAGTAGGTTGAAGTTWTTTCTTGTTTGTTTGCTTCCTGCATGAAACTGGAAAATTTCCATTTTGATCCCCAAAGATTAGTCTTGCTTTAAAGTAATTATATAGCTCTCTGAAAGATACCCAGGTGTGAACCAGCACCTTGACACAAGCCCTTAATTAAACTGACATATGTAGGAGTGCAGTAGTGTTGATAACTGTTGGTTTCTTTTTGTAGTATTCAGTTTTTCTTTAGATAAGAATGATTATATTTATCTCTCAGCCGTCTTTGCATATTTTCTGTGAATCTGTATTCAAAAAAGCTGTCCCTGCCTCAATTAAATCTTGCAAAAGTGGCATATTTTGGTTTATTGTGGTGATGCTCAAGTCAAGCTGTTGCCAAACARCCCCTTATCTCTTGCATCAATTGGATAAGTTAAGACTTTGATACGATTTCTGTTCTGAGCACGGGCACGGGCCTGCCGTGTCATGCAAGGCAAATCACTTGATCCCTTTGTGCTCCATTTGTATAGCRTAAATACTGCTTGTCTCTTTGTACAGGGCTTGTGGAGGACTTTGCTCCTTATGTTTCTGTACTTGTACGTGATTGTTGTGAAGTTACTGCTTCAGTGTGGCTTAGCACCAAAGCCCTCATTAAATCCTGAGTGTTCTGCGTGTTAGAGCAAGGAAACCTAGTAGATGGCAGGAGTGGGGGCTGCGCTGCTGGGCAGAAACGGGGAGCTTCAAGGGAGGATTTGTCTTGGGTGTCTTTAAAAAAATTAGATTAGAAATAGAAATAAAGAAGATGCCTAAAATAGCATCAAATGTGTTTCACAACTGAGATAGTCTATGGAAAGTTGCTAAGTTTTTTGCAAGCAAAATGGCTGTAGTGCTGCTGTATGCCTCAAATGTAACTGTAGGGGCATTTGCTTGGAAGATTTGTTCTTATTTATGTCAATATGCACATATTTAAAGTAATATGTGCAAGCAAACACAAAACAAGCAAACAGAGTTTGCAGCTCATCTTTCTGTTTCTTTTGGAAGTTTAGGAAACTTGGTGGTTATATTTGCATGTTCACAGAGTTATAGCTACAGTGAAAACAGGAGGACCTCAACATTTCATATTTGAAAATTGAGTGTTGTGAGTTGAGAGCTTAAATCCAGGGGGAGCAAGGCTTTGTTCTGACTTAGAAACCGTGGCAAGAGCCTATGGTTGAGCAAATCTAGGTAGCCACAAGCCAAGTGTCTACAGTCCGTGAGTGTCCAGCAAGGCTGCCTCATAGACCATGCAGGACTGCTGAGGTGATCTGTTTTCAGCTGCAAAGTTGGCAACGACTCTGTTCTAATTGGAATTTCTTCTTAATGCACTTGAAAGCCTGCATATTTAACAAATGGGAGACACTTGTACAGCGCTTACCTTAACTTCTTGCAGGTGGTCTGTGTAGTAGGCAGAATTCAATGGGAGTTTTCTTCTCTGCTTATTACTCACACATTATTTCTCTTTTTTCATGGTAGGCAAGCTGAAGGATCTCGGGAATTTGGTTCTCCGCCAGTTTGGCCTATCAACAGACAATTTCCAGATAAAACAGGATTCATCGACTGGTTCATACTCCATTAATTTTGTTCAAAATCCCAATAACAACAGATAACACTAATTCAGTCTAGTTCTGCTGGCTTTGAGGCTTCATGACCCGGTGCTTGCATGTACCATGAAAGGATTCTGCCAACATTTACCACTCTACCCAAGTAAAGATCGACTCGAACATATTCATCTCCCTGCTTGTGGAATTATTTAAAATGTGGGTGTAAAGCAAGTCTTTTGACTTCTCATAGTGATAACATTGTGTCCAGTGTGTGATTTTTTTTTTTTTTTAATTTATTGTTTTCCCCCCATCGTGGTGTTTGGCTTGCCTGGCAGCCAGGTTCTATCCTGGGCTTGTTCAATGCTGGCAACAAAATTCTAGCAAGCAGTTGAGTTGAATCAAAATGCCCATGTACCTGTAGCCAAATGCAAAGCCTAATGGTGTCCTGGGCAATTAATGAACCTAGCAGAAGCACTTCTTCAGGTGAATGTCCCTGAGAGCATGCATRCAAGCAAGCCAACTTCTGTGGAGTAATTTTTCTCTGTAATAAAGGCTTGATATTTCTGCTGGTTTGGGTTGTGAAGTTCTTGCCTCATACCAAGTTTTCTAATGGTGGCATTGTTGCTAAAAATGTTTATAGCTACTCTCAAATTTGCAAGACACTTTTGAGACACGATTTTTTCTGTCTTGCTTGCAGTAGCATCAGTAAATCAACACTGGGGCCACTCCTACACTGAAGCTTTCTGTCATCTTCAGAAAAAATAATAAAAGTRTATGTACTATATACCTATGCTTTGTAATGGTAAGATAAAATTACAGGAATTTGCTTGTCTGAGATTCATTCACATTGCAARCATTCCTAATGGCAAACAAATAAGTGACATTAAAGGGGTGAAAATTTGGTCCTTGCCCTAAGCCCCGCTTTACACTGATATGCCTGAAAGGGGCATCTCCCAGGCTAAGGTGTGTGTGGGGGGGGCAAACAGTTCTTTGTGCTGCTGTTTTTCATTTTGTCTGGGCAGATGGGGGGTGGTTGCTGCTGTTTAACTCTTGTCCTGCTGCATTTTGCTTCTACTCTCTGGTTGCCTCATGATTTGCAAGCTGCATCGAGTCTGCAGTGAATGTGTTTAGAGGTTTAAATAATGCCATCATTGAAAGGAGAGGCCCTTAGTCACAGCAAGGCCTGTGCAGACTTTCACAGCTTCTGCATTAATAGAAATGTCATTTAACTAAATAACAGAAATCAGTTTCAATGATTTCCATGTTCTGAGACTTTAACTGTTGTGCTTTGCTGGAGGGAGGCCAGCTTTCTTTACTGGTAAAGACTGGGCAAGCTGGTCAATCCACGGAGCAGGGGTTTCTAAAGAGCCTGTGCTCCTCAGCGCAGCTGGGGCGCAGCAGAGCTGTATCCCAGCCAGCAGTGGGGTGGGTTGGACTCCCAGCACCAAGGAGGAGGGTTGAGCTCCCTGGGCACTGGGACTGCGAGGGGAAGTGGTGGGAGAAGAGTCCACTCACATGCAGGAGGCCCCCCGGGGCCGGGTAGGGTAACTAGGCCCTGAGCTGGCAGCTATGCAGCTACTCTGCTCTTCAGGGGCTGGGAAGGCTTCTTAGGTAAGGCAGTGTGCTGAGACTAATGAAAATGTGAATAATCTCTCCTGAAACCTGCAGCCCTAGGGAGCAGAGATGTCCAAGAGGCTCCAAAGGAGCCCTAGGCAGGAGCACAACCAAGCTGGAGCTCACAGGCTTGGCCAGAGCCCAAGGCGAGGAGCTGCGGAGCTGTGTCTGACTCATACATCCCTAGAGCTCCCCGTTCAGCGTGCGCCGGGTCGAGACGTCAGAGTTCCTGCTGTCGCAGGCTCCCTGCTGCTGGGAGAAGTGGAGTGTCTGCACCTGGAGCAGGATGAGCACTTACCTCTTCATCGGCTAACCCTCCACCCGCCTGACAGGCTGGGAAGGGAGCCCAGCTAGGCTTGTTCACCAATACTCAGGACTCCTGCAGCACTCAACGTGAGGCTGCTTACGTAATGTTTGGTCTGGGTCCTGCTCAATTCACTGCAATACTCAGTGGCAGTGTACATACCCATGGAAGGACTTGGAAAGTACTGGAGATGCCTCTAATTTTCTATATACATTGGTTATTACCAATTAATTGCTATCTTTACTCACAAGGTGTGTGTGTTTACCAAAGTAGGGCTGCTGTGCAAAATTACAGCCAGTGACTTAGCAACCTGCTGTTTTGTCACACAAATGAGCTCAGGGGCAAGTTTTCCTCATGSTCCACTCCTGCTTCATAACTTTAAAGGCCTGGAGTGCCTCTGTCCTCTTGAGTGGAGACTGGTTAACTTATTCTTGCAAATAAAGGCACAGTGGAACTTTTGAAATTACTACCTGATATGCAAACATGTTGAGAAAGGGTGCAGCTTCCCTTCATTTTAAAACCACAGGTAGACATCAGGCATCCAGCGGAGAAGGACAAATGAAGCTAAGGGACTGCAGCTGATTTGCTTTTCACACTTGCAATTTAATTCTATCAGGTGAAAGCAGCAGCTTAGCTTTGGTGAAAATTGGACACACCATTACTGAGGACTCAAAGCTATAGGTCATATCTGCTCCAAGTGCCACTCTGGCTAGAACAGGAAGCTCTGAAATGTGTTATCTGCCATTATAGCAAGTTCTGTYCTACTTAAAAATTCCAATTAATTGCCTGAAAGAAGTCCTTTTGCAGCCCAAAGCCTGAACAATTGCATTTATTTTACTTTTTTTTAAAAGAGCATTTTTTAAAATCAGTCTAAACTGGTTGTCACAGCTGTCTACAGAAAGGTAATTGGTACTTCCTCCTGCTGTAATTGGCCACAAACTCATCATGTTGCTACWGTGCTCTGAATCACACATGCTCAGTGCACAACCTCTAATAGGAAAAAATGTTTTCTGAAACTTAATCTTTTAAATGTGAGTGCTGTAGACTGACCACTTCCCTTGTTCATTTGTTCCAGCAGTTACTCACCCTTATTGTTTCTAACAAACAYGCGCCTTTTTTCCACGTTGAGATGTCTGTTTTCAGCTCCCAGCCTTTGTTCTTTCTTATTAATCTCTGTAAAATAAAAAAAAGAAAAAAATAGTATCTGGCGTTTTATCTCCATGGAGACACTTACACAGTAGCAGCCTGTTGGTCTTTTGGGAAAGCTGAACAGACAGGGCTGCTTTAGGTCTCTGCCTGGGTAGACTCCAGCACTGCCGCACTGCCTGGGGCTGCAACCTTCAGGACGGGAGGGCTGGGGTTGGGGTCCCTGCGGCCGCACCGAGGCCACAACTCGGTGTTAGCTCATGGCTAACACCAAGACTGCGCTGAGCCCTTCGGCAACACGAGTGCTGTGTTTCAGACCTTCCATGAGCCTCTTCGAGGGTACCTGATTCCAGAGATGAGAAGTCTACAGTCTCTCTGTAGCTACAGCTTTCTTTTTTTTTTAAGGTAAAATTTTCCTCTTTGTAGCTTTTCATTACAAATGCCCATACAGAGTAGCTCATTGCTTTCCTGCTATCCCCTTTTCCGTAGCTTTATCGTCATATTTCTCGGTAGAGACTTAGTAGCCTCATTATTCTAAGCTCTCTAAAACTGCTCCTTTTACCTTCTCCCCGCTTTCTGAAGGGGAAATACCCACTAAGTGCCAGTCCTGTCGCTTAGGTCATTCTACTACTTTACCCTATTCCAAAGCTTGTTATTTTTCTTAGTAGTGAGACAGTGCAAACCTTCCTGCTGTACAGAAATGTTAAGGGTATGAGAAAGAAGCACAAAGGAAGCAGAAACTGCCTCATCTGATATTTTGGTGTAGGTTATTTGCAACATGCTACACTTCATAATCTCATCACTCTTCATGTGTAACGGGAGCGGGATACCCACGGGAGAAGCCTTCAACCTCTGCTCCTCCACCAGTACTCAAGCCAGCACCATCCTGGACGTGCAGAGCAGGTTGAGGGTGAGGGTTTGGGTTAGAATTAAAACCTCCACCAGGGAGCAGCCAGAGCCCCACCTGCAGCAGCAAGTCCCCCAGCAGCTGGGAGGAGGCTTTGCAGGCTTTGCAGGCCATTAAACAGAGTGTGTCACGAAACAGGGCAATTTCCAGTCTGCCTTCACGTACTCAAGGCATCAGGCAGATCACTGAGTACTAAAAACTCCTCTACAGGATCCTTGCAGTCCCGGTACGTAGCAATTCAGCACATTCCTGCAGCGGGCGCAGCAGCCAGCGCCGCCCCGCTCCGCGGCTCCCCCAGAGCTGCCCTGTGCTGAGGAGGACACTCTGTGCTGGAAGAGCGGCCAAAGTTAACGTTTCAGAGAGCTCAAAGGTGGATACCCAGGTTCTTGAAGAGGCAAATGCTGTCACTTTTGTTAGCCCCAGAAAAAGTCCTGACTTTGAGGCTCCTCAACAACGTGCAGCTGTCCAAACAACCCCGGGAGGCTCCGCAGARCGGGGCCCACTCCCGGTTGTTTTTCATGGCAGCTCCACACAGGCCCAGGGCTGCTGCAGGAACCCGGCCTCCCGTGAGGCCCACGGCCTCCCGTGCTGCCCTGCCGTGAGGCCTGCAGCCACCGCGATGTCCCGGCCGCAGAGCAACCGTGGTACCGCTTAGCCACTGCCCTGGCCCTAAGCACCATCCCCTCTCCCTGCCAGCCATAGCTGGGCTCCTGCGTCCCTTGGGACCTGCTAGTTCAAGCCCAGCTCAACAGGAGCTACTCAGAACTAYGGGAGCATGACCCAGCTGTGTGAGTAGCAGGACCTGCGCTTGCCCCGCAACCTTCCTTTTTCCTCTTCCCTCATACAGGATCTTGGCCTCTTGGGCAGCAGAGCCCCATCCCTACCTTGCCTCCTGCTTCTCCTCTTCCCCCCTTCTCCTCGTTGCTCGAGGACCTGTTCCTCGGCCAGCRAGCGGGCACAGCTCTAGTGAGCAAGCAGCTCTTGATGGGAGCACCACAGCTGTGCCCGTTGGAGAGGCCTTGCCGGGGAGCAGCACTCAGGGCTCAGCTGCCTCCCGCCAGCCTTCATTACCCGGAGCYGATGGGCCCCAGCACAGGGGGCAAAGTGCACAGAAAAGGCAGATACCCCCTGCAGCTGCACATCAGGAGTAACCATAAAAGCCCAGTCCATCAATTTCCCCTAGCAGAGCACAAAATCAGGTCTACAAGATCAGCTCAGCCTGCAAGCATATGAAATCCAGACCCCCTGAATCTCAATAGCTTTGCCAAATTCACGGGAACACAGTGTTTCTGGTAAAGACTGCTTGGGCAAAAGCATTTTTTTCAGCTAATTTTGGATTCTGCCTGCAAGCTAAGGCCTGGCCTTCAGCTGAGCACCTGCTGTTCCCTCAACTTCACCACAGATTTGGGGGGTTTAACATGTCTCAGAACAAACAAATATCTCCCTTCCTCCCCAAACTCTCCATCCATGTCCTGAAACTTGCTTTCTGCAACACAGTCCTAAGCAACACAGCAGCAGGCAAGACTCTATCCTCGGGAACAGCAGCCCTGATGCGCTCATACCCTTGACATACCCCGCAATGCTGCCAATCC